TGATGTTTAATGTCCCTGTCCTCCACTGCTCCGGGTGTGTGTTCATGGTGTGTGTGTTCACTGCTGTGTGTGTGCACTTTGGATGGGTAAATGCAGAGCACTAATTCCTAGTATGGGTAACCATACTTGGCCACATGTCACGTCACTTTCACTTTCACAACCTCTGTAGTTCCATTTAGCCACATGCTAGCAACTGCTTTTTAAAAATCACAAGGGGTATAACTGATGTATTGAAAGTGAAAGTGAAATGACATGTGGCCAAGTATGGTGGCCCATACTAGGAATTAGTGCTCTGCATTTACCCATCCAAAGTGCACACACACAGCAGTGAACACACACACCATGAACACACACCCGGAGCAGTTGGCAGCCATTTTTGCTGCGGCGCCCGGGGGGCAGTTGGGGGTTTGGTGCCTTGCTCAAGAGCACCTCAGTCGTGGTATTGAAGGTGGGAGAGAGCGCTGTACAATCACTCCCCCCACCTACAATCCCTGCCGGTACAAGACTCGAACCTGCAACCTTTGGGTTACGAGTCCGACTCTCTAACCATTAGGCCCCCGTAAAAACATTAAAAGATCTTGAGAAATATTTCAGGCATTTAACCAAAGACCCATTCAAAAGCCCATTGCCTTTATGACAATGGAACCAGAAGTGATAAAATGCTAATTCATTTCCGAGTTTTGGCCTATAAAAATGTCATCACTGCAGCACTCTATTCATAATACACCTTTCTGTGACATTTAAAACAGTGTTGTCGGTATGGTATTCATGAACTCTTTCTCTCCCAGTGAGCAGGTTTGTGAAGTACACTGGTTACGGTAATGCAGCGGGGCTGCTGGCAGCACGGGGTCTTTTGAACGGCCGCGGCCCCTCTCCTCAACCGCAGTACTCCAGTGACTCTGACTCAGACACGGAGGAGTACAGACAGGCCAAGGACAGGATTAACCCTGTGACGGGACGGGTGGAGGAGGAACAGCCTGATCCAATGGAAGGAATGACTGAAGAAGAGAAAGAGGCAGAGGCGCTCAGACTCATAAATATGTTCAACAAACTCTCACGGTATGTGTGTGTCAGAGATATTCCACCAGAAATGTGGTAAAATCATCACTGATTTTCTGTTCAAAACGTATGTGTAGTGAATAGGTGATCCCCTTATAATATACAGCAGCCTTAATATGTTTTTGTTTCATCATTATCCTTCCACCACACCCTCTCAGGAACAAAATCATTCAGCCAATGGGAGTGACAACGGACGGCAAAATGGCGCCGCTTTGTGGCCAGATGAGGCACAGCGCTGTGCAGGAGGAGGAGGAAGAGGAAGAGGAGGAAGATGATAGTGAAACAGAGCAGTGATGATGACAAGATGATAATGATGATGAAAGACAGGTGCAAGATATTTTATACTAATGACTGATATGGCGCTGAAACAATATTAATAATAGCGCAACTAAAAATCATGTAACTTATAAGGAAATAATCTATTGTTTCATTTAATCAGTTGGTGTATGTAAAAGGAAATTCTATTGAGACAGAAAACCGAATAAACGAAGCTCTGTATGATGTGTGAAGAAAAAAAATAAGGCAGGCAAGAAATAATTTATAATGTAGGCTACACAAAATAGCTGAGAATGTCATTTCTTTGTAACAACTCTTGTGAGTCACGATGAGCTAGAAACCGTAAAATAGGAAGCTACTAAGAAGCAAAGGAGAAAGAAAGAGACAAAGAGAGACAGCCATCACACCAGACAGACAAACACTCCTGGAAAATGCTGCTGGTGTTGCCATGGCTATGTTACCATGGTAACAACATGAAACGCAGTTCTTTTTTCGCGCTCTAGCAAGAGTGGAACGTTTACCTTGAAGAGAACTGCCATGGATCACTCTAACGCTCTGCACCGAGAACGCTGAATAAAAATACATCCTCAGGAAACGTTTTCATTTACAAAATGGGTAGTAAACTTTGAACCTAAGTAGAATATTTAGAGCAGGTTATTTTTTGACTGTACTGCTTGATTTCCAATGTGTTTCCCTCCAAGATATCATTCCTACCCGTATAAAGCCCGTGCAAAATACCAGCAAGTATGTCTAGAACAAATAAAACGAAAAAAAGAAAAAGAAAATCCAAAGCAGTCTTGTGTCGCTTTGCATCATTTTCATAAACTCATTTTTCTTTTCTTTTATTTGCGTTTGTCAAATACAGGAGGATTCATGTACAGATGAGGGACAGGTAGAGAGAGAGAGAGAGAGAGAGAGAGAGAGAGAGACTGAAGCAACTGTACAATATTTACAGAAGAGAGAAATAAGCAAACCTCCAAAATAATAATAATAATAACAATAATAATTATCATAGTAAACAACCAACAGATAAAAACAAACAAACAGTAAACACAGACATTTTGCACGGTACTCTTTTTCTTTAAAATAAATGACTGTTGTCTTTTATTTTGTCATATAATGCAATAGAGGAAGTAAAGTTTCGTCATGATACAATCTGAAATCAATTCTCTTACCCAGCAATACGATATTTGCCGATATCTCAAAACATGCTGCGATACAATTACAATTTGATTAGATTTAGGGGCCTATGATTGATACACCGATATTATTTTACACAGCCAGTTACATTTTTATTAACTTAAAAATGCAACCATAGTTTCACAGTCAAACAAGTCATCTAGTGTATCTTATTCATTTATAAAAATAAACTATATAGCATTTACTTTTGATCAATTAGCTGCATTTTTGCTGAATAAAAGTATTAATTTCTCCAAAAAATTGTAACTTTTGAACAGTAAGATTTAACTAGCAAAAGAATGAGCAAACTGCTGTTTAAAATAGTGTTAGATGATTTTTGCAACTTTATCTATAGGCACAGGTTTAATCACTGCAACAATTTGTTAGTTTTTCAGATATATTTGCATTTAGGCCTGGAAAGATGACATCAGTGGCCTAAAAACCTAATTTAATGAAACTTAAATTAACAGCCTTCATTAGTCACTGTAACATTCCACTCCTCTTTTCTAATGCCCCATTCACACGGGGCGTCAGCGTTAACGCTTGACGGAGGGCGTTTCTGAAGCTTGGTGCTGACGCGACCGTCATAGTGACAACAGCCAATCACATTAGTCTTCTGGTGTTGCATGAACGCGATTGGCTAGCGTCTGCGCTAGGGTATTTGCATAAGGTCATCTGATTGGCTGACGCCTGTGTTGGTGCTTGAAAAGTTTTCAACTTCTACCGCGAGCAACGGACCCAACGCGACGGACCCACAATTCATTTCACCAACGCTTGACGTCACTCCATTCAAAGTAAACGAGAGGCGTTGACGCTGACGCCCCGTGTGAATGGGGCATAAGCATCTTTTGCTTATCATTATTCTTCCAGCCTCCTTTGCTTTATTAAACTCCTTTCATTATTTTCTCCAGCCTTCTCTCCCTTATCCTCCGCACATGCACTTTGTGTTTAACCTAACGATGTGAGCTCACCATTGGTGTCCTCAAGAGCTTGGATCATGTCCGGGTCCAGAGCAGTGCTGACCAGCATCTCTACATAACTGCGGAACATCTCTCTCATGGCCCGACTGTTCATCCCACTCCGTGTGGATACTGAGGATACAGATGCAAAACACATGAAAAAACAGAAGGCACACACCAGAAAATACAGTACTCTCACACACACTTCAACAACTTAGTTTTGGCTCCACAAAACAAGAAATGCAAAATGAACTAAATTCAGTGTACATCATCTTATACAGTGAGCTGGCTTATAGACAGGTTGTAGCAATACAATTTTTACTATATGTAAAATTGAACAGTAGTTTGCCGTTACTAGTATGCAGGTTTTGAGTTTTTTGAGTGCCATGACAAACCTTATATAGAAATACTGTGTTGGAACTACTGTAATATACTGAATGGTACTAAAAAGTAGGGCTGCACGATAAATCGAAATGGAATCGAAATAGCGATTCGACAGAAGCTGCGATTGTCATGCATATCTTTCAGTAAAGCACGGTTCTGTGATCAGCAGTAAACCTTCATCCAAAGGCCAGAGGGCACTCTTTCGCTGAAACTCCAAAAACGCCTCGCAGAAGAAACCCAGAAAATGCCTATAGCTGCAGCTGAATAAACAGAAGATTTAACTGCCTTTATTGATTCAACATGACTAATAAACACACGATTATGACAATATATGATTTATCGGAGTTATTATTATTATAATTTTAATTAAAATAAAGTATATTTATAATGCAATGCCTTTATCACTGCTTAAATACTATGAAATATGTTGCGTGCCTTATTCTGTGTAAGGCGGCACATCATCTCACAGAAGGATTTATTTCAAACACTCGACTGACATTATGAAGTGAGTTTGGAGTAAAAATATGTTATTAAATGTGGTATTTTCACATGCTTTCAGATTGTGCAGCATTTACTTCACTGAGAAGCTATGCAAACAGCTGTCATTATCGCAAATTATTTCTTTGATTTCATAATCGCGCAATAAAATCGTGTGTGATTTTTTTGCGTAACTTGTCAGTGAACTATGGCTCTGTGTAGTAAATGCTGCTCCATCTGAAAGCACGTGATGATGATTTCCTGCTGATTACAGAACCGGAATTACTATCAAAATGCACATGACAATCGCATTCGATTAATCGTGCAGCCCTAAGTAATACATATAGTGGTACTGAGAGATTACCATATTTACAAATCATGGTTTTAACACGGGACTTCAAACTATGGTACCACCATTCAAAAGTTTGTGGTCCGTAAGATTTTATTTAAATTTTTTTGAAAGAACAGAATTATTTTATTCAGCGAGGATGTAATAAATTTTCAAATGTGGCAGTGTTGTGACAGTTACTTTTTTTTTACCTTCTATTCATCAAAAATCCTGAAAAAAAATTTTGCATGGTTTCCACAAAAATATCAAATGTCTTTTGAGCACCAACAATCTTTTTGAAGGAAAATGCTCAAAATTCAGCTTTGCCATCACACAAATAGATTACAGTTGAAAATATATTACAATACATGCAACGATTCATATTATATTAGCATGGTTTCCACAAAAATATCAAATGTCTTTTGAGCACCAACAATCTTTTTGAAGGAAAATGCTGAAAATTCAGCTTTGCCATCACACAAATAGATTACAGTTGAAAATATATTACAATACATGCAACGATTCATATTATTAATGTTTTTACTGTATTTGTGATCAAATAAATGGATAAGAAACTTCTTTCAAAAACATTTAAAAATCTTGTTACCCCAAACTGAAGTTACACTGAATGAAGCTGCTGATAGCTTTGCATAATATTGCAAAACCACACACACAGTATATTGCACACACATAACCAAGCCATACGCACCTTCCTCCTCACTGGGCGGGTCAGGGGAGGAGACTGAATCAGATGAAGAGGGCATTTCTTTAAGCCACTTCTTCCTCTTTTTAGGTGGAGGTTCTGCCTTTACTTTCACAGGTCTGCTCCTCGTCCTGTCGACCCTCTTCTCTCCATCTCTTTTCTCCTCTTTGACCCTCCCGCGCTCCACAACGGCCGTTCTCCTCTCCAGCTTCTCTTGAGTTTGTTGCTCTTGGAGCTTCTTTTCCTTCTCTCGCACTTTCTCCCTCTCCTTCTCTCGTTGTTTTTCCCAGGCCTTCTCTTTCTCCTTTTCTCTTTGCCTCTCTCTTTCCCTCTCTCTCTCTTTCTCCTTTTGTTTTTCCTTTTCTTTCTCTCTTTGTTTTTCCCTTTCCTTCTCTCTTTCCCTTTCTTTTTGTTTCTCCCTCTCTTTTTGCTTTTCAAGTTCTCTCTCCTTTTCTCTCCTAGATTTTTCAATCTGTTCCCTCTCTCGTTCTCGCTCCCTTTCCTTTTCTTTTTCCCTTTGTTCCCGTTGTCTCTCTCTCTCTTTCTCTCTACCCTCTCGTTCCATGCGAGGTGGAGTCAAGTTACGTACAGGTTGTGGTTTAGGAAGTGACTGGCGTCTGGTAGAAAGGAAAGACATTCATCTTAGCAACGACAATATACTGATAAAATTGACAGTTCACCTGAAATTAAAATTCCTCATTATTTACTCAGCCCCGTAAAATCTTAAACCTGTACACTGTTTTTTTCTGTGGAAAACAAATTCTGTTATGCTTTAAGTCTAAGCCACAGGTTGGACATCAAATGTCCTTAGCTTTCGCATATCTCAAGATCAATTTTCACAACGTCAGTATTTTATTACAGAGCTGCAGCAGTTGAAAGATTATTAACGAATAAATACTTAAATTGTGCTGCTTTCTCACACAGACCTATTGTATGAGTGCAGGTGACTTTGAATATCGCTTATGAGTTAGATGGACTATATTTCTGGTGCTTTTTTAGCGTTTTGTTTTCTTGTTTTAATTTTTGACACACATAGGCCACTGTGAACCGTTTTATGAAACAAGCTGTTTGAAGATTCTTCAAAAATTCTGCGCTCCACTGAAAAAGCAACAGCATTTAGGTTTTAAAAGCATGAGGGTGAGTAAATGATCACAGAACTCTTTGATTGACAGTAACTACTGTATTAACAGCAATATAGCACAGGACGTGCATTTAGGGTGAAATTACCTCAGTGTGAGACTGGGCCGATGCCAGGGTTTCCGCGAGCACACTCGGACATAATCCTTTTTATTCACATTCTCCAAGAATTTGACATATAAACGCTGATAACGCATCTTTGCATCTCCAAAGTAGCCCAAATACTGCCAAAGAGTGACAGAGGACAGATAGCATGAGTTTAAGGTGGTGGTGTAGTGTTACAATTTCATGCAAGCCATCCAATGCATGATATTAATTCTAACCAAATACAAAAACACACTCACATTACTGGTAGCACAAAACTGCCGCTGTCCATCTTTGATTTCAGGAGCAAACTTCTGCAGCAGAGCTTTCTGGACCCTCCAGATTGGAGGAGGCTCTCGTCCGGTCTGAAGCGCCAGCTGAGAAAAGCCATGTGAATTGAGCATCTAGTTAAATTGGCATTAAATAAAAATTCATTATTCATCTATTTTGTAAATGCATGTTGTAGATCTTATTGCGAACGATTCATCCAGGCACATGGTTCATTTTTTGACACAACTGGACCTTCCACAGAAACAACAGACTGGTGATGTATACCAGATTTTTCCAATCATTTATTCTGCTTAAACCCTGCCCTTCCACAATCAAATCTAAGCGTGAATTTTTCACTGTAACACCTACATCTCAAAATTCAAACAAGCGACAAACCATTGATCTCCAACCCTGCTCCTGGAGAGCTACCGTTCTGCAGACCTCAGCTCCAACCATGTTTCAACACGCCTGTCTATAATTTTCAAGTAACCCTGAACACTTTGATTAGCAGGTTCAGGTGTATTTGATTGAGGTTGGAGCTGAACTCTGCTGGACAGTAGCTCTTCAGAAGCAGGGTTGTAGACCCCTGACAGACAGAATCAAGTCCCCGCCATAATTTTTTTTTCTTTTCTGTCAATCAGTTTCACTTGTATGTACGTTGCACTACGGAAGAAAAGATCTGTCACTATTTCCGTTTAATTGCGACTTCAATTATTAAAAGGGGAGTGCATCCAAAAATTATAATTCTGTCATCCATTACTCACCTTCATGTGGTTCCATGTATGACATTCTTTCTTATGCGTAACGCAAAATAAGACAATTTAAAGAATGTTGGTAACCAAAGAGTTCTGGTTCCCATTGACTTCCATCAGAATTTTGGACTATAATATAGAAATCAAAGGGAATCGAAACTGTTTGGTTACCAGCATTCTTCAAATTATCTTCTTGTATGTTCCACAGAACAAATTGAGTCATATAGGACTAAAATGACATGAAGGTGAGCAATGACAGAATTATCATTTTTGGGTGAACTATCCCTGCAAAAATCTACATATTAATTCTACTAAAAAAATATAATAATAAAAACAGGGGGATTTTTACCTTAAGAGTACCAATATCTTCAGTGCGCACCACAAAGCAGGTGGAGAAGGGCTGGGAGGCAGGGAATTATGCAGTGGTGGCTGTTGCTGCTGCTCCTCTTCTTGAGATGGGAGAGGGGAGGGGAGAGACAGAGGAGGAGGAGGCAGAGGGGATGGGGAGGAGGAGGCTGGGGGAGAAGGAGACAGAGATGGAGGAGAATGGGGTGCAGGGGGAAGCTCGGATGGAGATCCTAAAATGGGATACGGTTAAGGAAAGAAGGAAATAATTAATATTTCACTGATTGTAATATCTCACTGTAGATATGTTAATATACTCACCATCAACCTTGGGAGCACCCAGCATTTCATACTCTGGCTCTTCAACTTCTTCTTCCGGCTTGCTCTCCTCTGTCCTTATCTGATCAGCTTCCTCCTTCTCACTTATGTCTTCTTCCAACTCCTCTCCTTCCTTCTCACATTCAGTCTGTCTGTCTTCTTTCTGCTGTATGTCTTCATGTACCTCCTGCACAGGTTCTTCCCGTTCCTCACCCTTGCCTGGAACATGTGCCTCCTCCTGCAGGTTGGGCCGTGAGAGCGAATCCAGCTCCTGTGACGTGTTTATCTCCGTCTCAGGTTCAGTGAGCAGGACAGATTCAGGTTGTGGGGGTGTGTTAAGAGACCCCGTCTGCGGAGTGGGCGGCGATGGCGTAGGAGAAGGTGGAATGGCAGCGAGACTGTGGGCCGTGTCATAGAGAGCAGAAATGGCGGATGAGATGCTCTTCTGCAGGTCCTGGTTCTTACTGACTGAGTCTTCCTCGTCTGAGGAGAACGACGGCAGGGTCTCCAAGTTCCTCTTGAGCTCCTCGTCAAGTCTTTTACAGGGGGAGGGACAGTTACTGAGACCCAGGCTTCCATCACTCTCGTTCTCTCCAAAGGGGGGAGGTGGAGGAGGAGGTGGTTGTGGGGATAATGGGCGGATGCCTCCCTTTACTGAAGAGGAATCTGTGGAAGTGCACCCATCCACAGCTGGAGCTTCAGTGCCCGGCTGCTTCTTCCCCGTTTTCAAGAAATCCAGAAAAGAAGTTATAAAACCTGACTTCAGCTCTGAAGATTTCTCCTCCGTCTGCGAGCAAGAGGTGCAGACCAATGAAAGATGGCAAAATACAAGCAAAAAGAGTCAAACAGCATTGAAATGTTTACGCAGAAGGCAAGTATATTAAAAAAGGGAAAGAAAAATAAAGAATAACCAGAAAACAGCTTATAAATAAATGACAAATTGTAATAAAATGTACTTTTTCGATTAACATTTTTATATTATATAATCTCTGTAGTCCCACTCTCTTATGTGTCAAGAAGACGGAAAAACACCTTACTGAACAGCAGGGTGGTTGATGACTGTTACTATGAATCAGTAACCTTAGCAACAGCCACCCTAGCAACAGCGCTCTCCCTTTCTTTTATTGCATTTTTTAAGAACTCAGGGTGGCCTGCCAATCATCTTAGTCCATGTAGTTTGCTCCCTCTAGTGGCAAAGTGCATACACTGAGAACAATGCTTCCTCTGTAAAATAATTGAGTGTGAAAGAAATCCAAACGCATTTTATATATAATTTAGTAATGGGTCTTTAGGTCAAAATATGAGTGGGTTATTTTTTTATATCAGAATTACACCTGGAAAATGGATATAGAATAAGAATTGAAGTCTTACTGAGCCGGAAAGCTTCTGCATGGTAGCCCAGGCCTCTGGGGTCATTTGGTCATCCATGTCTCCATCCCAGGACATCTGCAGATACATAAATCATAAACATTGCACATACATACACAAAGAAATTGCACAGATCTACACATAACACCCTAGACTGGCACTTCCACCCTTCTTTCCTGAGGCAACTTGTTGCTGAGGTAACAGAGGACATTTCAGAAGTGCAATTTAAACATATGGAGGAGGGCATAGTTTGATTAAGGCTGTAAAAATGTTGGTTGAGTTATTTAATCTTCATGCTTTTGGTCTGACAACATTTCATAATGTTACAGTAGATGTTTACTTTCCCCATTCAGGACAAAACATTTGTGACTTTGACATGTATAGTTTTCAAATTATGTCAAACCACTTCATCATCATCTAGATTTTTCTGTAGTTTGAAAGATCCTACTCGGGTTGCTAATCATCTACTCATAGTGAGCTTGGTCGCTGCTCAGTAAGTGTCAATCCTTTTGTATTTGCATAAATCATAACTGATTTCACACAGTGCTTCCCACCAATCCCTTCTACTGCTGAATAATATTGTCGAACATTGCAATGCATGGCTAACAAAAATGACTATAAATATGCTTTTTATATTTATAAAAAAATTAAATAAAAAGGCCCCCTAAAACTCTTTTAAGAAAAGAAAAGAACAGTTTCAACTACAAAGAACAAATTTAGTAAAGCATTTTGCTTTGGTAAAATTAATCCATCACAGCTGCCAACAAGGCCTGGCAGGTCTTCCACAAAATATTTGACCTCCTCTAAACGCACCTCCTCCACTAAACTTTGCTCTAAATCTGCAGGTCATTTGAGGACATCAAAAAGACCCAATATGAACTAGAGCTGTAGTCAAGTCCAGCTTTGTCGAGTCCAAGACCAGGACTAGTCAAGACCGAGTCCAAAGAGGTTTGAGTCCAAGTCAAGACCGAGTCCAAATGAGAGAGAGAAAAAAAAAGGATCCTCTTCAAGACCACATACTTAACTATTAGCTGTACAAAGATAGCCATTTTTAAAAATAAATTTAGTAGCAGAGCTACTGCAAGGGATTTTTAGTGCAAATTTTTTTCTTTACTACTATGTGTTGTATGTGATGTGGTGGTTGTATTTCTGAGCCTAAGACAAAATTCCCTCAGGGACAATAAAGTGTACCTAACCTACCCTAAATCCATTTCTCCTTTGCTGAAACTTCCGCGTCTTCATGGAGAGCGCAGGTCAGAGTTGCTCAGCAACGGCAGACGCCACGGGAGCGCAAGCATAGAGCGCAGGCTACAGAGGGCTTTGGAAAGAAGGAGAAAGCGGCGCGCCTAGCGTTTTCCACGCGTTTTCAGGCGCGACATGCAAATGTGGTTTTGTTTCGAAGGATAAAAAAAAAGCATATTGCTGGACTCGGTCGAGACCAACGAGAACATTTGGCTAGTCCAATGACCAAGTCCGAGACAAGTCCGAGTACAAACGCCAACGAGTCCGAGACAATAGAAAAATGTCTCGAGTCCGGACTCGAGTACTACAGCCCTAATATGAACAAGCACATTGTTTGTTATGTTTTTGGACACATAGGTTGCAAAAAGTGAGGTTGTCAGAACTGATTTTATTGTGCACCTTTATGCTAAATTTTAAAGGGGTCTCTTTGGAGTGTTACAAGCTCTTGGTGCATAAAGAAGATCTGTAAAGTTGCAAAGACTAAAGTCTCAAATCCAAAGAGATATTCTTTATAAAAGTTAAGAGTCAACCCCGCCTACCTAAAACGGCTCGTTCCAGGCACGGCGCCAGAATTTTTTCTCTACCGGTGCTAAGCGGGGGCTAGACCAATATGTGGGGGTGCTAAGAAAATAAATGATATTGATGACGTCAGAGTAAACCGGGGCTATTCAAAATTCTGACGGGGCTATAGCCCCCCCTAGCCCCGGTGTAGCGCCGTCACTGGCTCGTTCTAACACGCCCCCACATGTCTACGTCACCATGTGGGAAAATTTGCATAACACCGCCCAAATGTTCATGCAAAGAAAGAAGGCGTACCTTCTATTCTCGCTGTAGTATTGTTGTTGCCGCCGTATTTGTATTTACAACACTGTTCCAGAACAGTTCAACCCAAATATTCAGATGTGTCCAGCACATTTTATGGAGGACTGTTTCCTGATCCTGGTAGAGTAGACTACAATGACGGCTGTTCTGACTCACAGACTGCAAGTACATTTTTATATTTAAACAATTTGCCACTGATGATTCAAACATGAGTTTTGAGCAGTGTAGAGTAGCGCTTTTTTGTCATTTCTCCGATCACAAATGCAGACATGGTTTTATGTTTACGCGGCGCGATGCAATGTAACGCGTAAAAAGACAGTATAAGTCATTATAATCCGTAATTATGTCCCCACTGGATGCAACAAATGCCTAGTTTATAATGGCTTTTATTGTTTTTGTCTTGTCGTGCCAGGACAAGGAATCACAATATGGTAAGGGGCATAACATTTCCGTCACACGCTTGAGGTTTTCGGCCAATCACAACGCACTGGATAGCTGGCCAATCAGAGCACACCTCACTTTTCAAACCGATGAGCTTTGTAAAAATCGACACGTTTCAGAAACCGTAATGTACGGTAACACAAAATGTGTTTTTTTAACCTTAAACTGCATAAACACATTTCATTACACCAAATAATATTATTTTTAGCAACATCATATGACCCCTTTAAAGACACCAATTTATCTTTCTAAGAATTATGAAAGGGTACAGATATTGCAACAAATAATATCCTAAAATGCAAACCACATAATTGCCATTTGCTCTACATTTTACATAGAACATCTGGAGTTATTTTAATATTTTCTGTTAAATTTCAACATTCACTAAACTTTTTTGCAAGTTGAGACTCACCTCTTGGGGTTTCTGCTTCATCTTTTCCTGACCACAGCTCATATCATTTCTATTCATGTCAATTCTGTTCATGTCCACAATGGTAGTGGGCCCTGGGCTCAAACCAAGAGACGGTGCAGATCCTACCGAACCATCAGACAAAACTGGATCTGTACTAGACAGGGAGTCTGTCCTCAGTAGGGAGTCAGATGAGGGCATGGAAGGAATAGGGAGCTTAATCTGGTAGGAAAACAATTAAGTAATTACTTATTTTTTGAATCAACACATGCTTTTGCTTTTACATTTGTTACAATTTCATTGATCCATCATTCCCACAAACATAATTCTTCCCATTGGTGCAAATCATAAACCTTAACTTACTTTGATTGGTTTGATGGGTTCCTGGTATTGTTGCTGAGGCTGATGCTGTGCAAGTTGTTGATGGTGTTGATGAAGTTGTTGTACATGTAGGTGCTGCTGTTGGTGCATATGTTGTGGTTGGTGTTGCTGTTGTTGCTGTAGATGGTGGTGCATGTGCTGTTGTAACTGTGGTTGATGATGGAGGTGAGGTGCTTGTTGTTGGTAGTTCTGCCCCTTGTTCATGTCTCTGTGCATTTCTAGCATTTGATCATCTTTCCTTCCACGCCCTCTTCCTCGCCCACGGCCCCTTCTACTCTCTCCACCAGGTCCCATCATGTTCCTGCAATAAGGAGGCTCGGGGAGAGGCCGAATACGTGGCCTGCCCCTGGGTCTTGGTGGTCCTTCACGTTTAGGTTTGGTGGGTTTCCTCCCCCTTTTCTTTGGGCCATCATGTGGGAGCAGCTGTGGAGGAGGTCCAAGAGATGGGTACCCTGAGGGGTGGCAGAAATCTAAATCACCCATCAAAGGGCTTAAACTGCCAACTCCTGAACCACTTCCAGACTTTCTGCAACTGGAAACGAGATCAGGAAGCAAGTCAGGCAGACGTCTGCTGTTTAAGCGGATGTCAGCTGGAACATCTGCTTTATCCTCGTCATCCTCAAATTCATATTCTTGAGCATAGTTCTTCTTAGCCTGTGATTGGGCATTAGGGTCTTTCCGCTGTTTAAGGAGGTGAAATGAGCTTGTTTTCAAAAGTTTTTTAGGTCTAGAGGAACAAAAGATTGGTGAGGTGAGCCCTGCTGTGCCAGGACCACTACCTACACCTGCAGAGCCCATAATTTTGTTTCCAGTTCCGTCCACTACGTGTCCCGTGCTGCCCATCCCAAGGCCTGGGCCCTGAGTTTGAATTAAGCCTAGTTGTTCTGTGTTTACAGTGGATGGGAGTTCATGGGATTTCAAGGGGTCCAGATCTAAGTGCATAGTGCCATTGCCAGATTCAGACAAACTGTGACAATACTGCCCATACTCCTGATCCCCATGATGACCCATCATGTCATATGCACCTCCACCACCTGTAGCTTTAACTGCATCCATTCCATCTTGTACTGTTCCACGTGCCTCTGGCACACCATCCTGACCCCCTTGTCCTGCACTTCCACCTCCTCCAGCACAACTTGCCTTGTAGTCTTCAGAGCAGAACATATCCTCCATCCCTGGAAAAAAGGAACGATCCTCATCTTGGAGAAGAGAATCTGGGAAACAAATAGATGTCAGTGGCATGAACCGTTGTTGCTGCTCTTGGCTCTGACCCTGGTTCTGAGCTGTTTTTCCCACAGGGCTACCAGTGTCATATTGATGCTCTTTGAGCTGATCCAGCTGTGGCTGTGAGAGTTGGGGCTCTTGTTCCCTCGGCTGGGACTGGGGAGGTCCAGAAGCTAGTTGCATGTGGTGAGGGTGCTGGTGAGGATGTTGATGGTGAGAGTGTGCCTGTGGCTGATGGAGGGAATGAGGGGGTGGATGGTGTGAGGCCATAAGATGCAAATGAGAGGGGGTTGACATGCTCAAATCAGACTCGGATAAGAAATCAAGCTCTGCTGATGGTTGTTGAGAGTGGTGGGATTGATGGTGTGAGGACATCCTATGTTGTTGCTGTTGTCTGTGATGATCAACGGTGCTCCCATCTCCTGCACCAACTCTATCAGTGGACCCTGGCCCTTCCACACTGTTTGTCCTGGAGAGAGATCTCTCTAGCATGTCTAGTGGTGAAACAGAATTCTGACTTGACTGGCTTTGGTTTCGCTGGGCCTCACGTCCATAGTGGACCTCCATAGTTTGGGACTGGAGCTGGAGTTGAAGTTGAGAGGCCTGTGGCTGAGTATCTACTCCTCCAGAGCTACCAGTACCTAATACCCCATTTGGTCCAATCATGGCTTGTTGACTCATTGGGTGTTGTTGTTGCTGTGAGGGAGTCTGTTGGTTGTCCATCTTGTTTCGAGTGGTATGCGAAAGGACAGACTGGAGAAGGTGAGCCTGGGAGGTTTGCTGAGATGGGTCGGGTGGAGAATCCATTAGTCCAAGGGAGGACTGGGTCTGTCGCTGCTGCAAGTCTGGAGTCTTTCGTAGGTAGGGTAATTCTGAAGGATCCTGAGCTTTCTTAAGATCTATATGTGAGTGGGACATTGAATGGGGGTGAGAGTGCTGTGAATGCTGAGGGTGTTGCGAGTGCGATGGGTGAGGAGGGTGATGTTGATGTGTTTGATGAGTGTAAGGGTCTCCTCTGCCATAGTGGACCACTGAACTCAGGGAGTCATGTTGACCATGGGAATGAGTATGAGACAAAGAATCAACTGCACCTCGACCTCCAGTTGCACCAGATCCAGCAAGCACTCTATCAGACTTAGTATGTTGCTGCTTTTTCAGAGACATCTCCAACTGGTTCTCTAAACCTGTGCCTGGACCACAAGAGCCAGCAGCAACTGAAGCCACATTGTTGGTGGTATTATTGGTCCGAATGACACTCTGTAGATGATAACGTTCTTCAGATGCCTTGTTCAGTTCATATGCAGAGAGAGACTTCCCTCCATCTCTACTCTGGGAAATGGACTGGGACTGCGGTTGTTGTGAAGCTACTTGCTGAGCTTGTTGAGAATGATGCTGGGAGGGATTGGGTGCTGGACTTTGTGAGTGCAGTAAGTGCTGAATCAAAAAGTCATCCTCATCTTCTTCATCCTCTTCTTGAGATCTTTCTACCCCAAGCATCTCAGAATCAGACTTAGATTTTGGCGGCGTTGTGTGATAAGACTGTGTTTGCTGGGGTGGCACCCTTGTGTCTGAGTATCCTTGTGGAGAAGCCAGGAATGCTGGGGAAAGAACTGAGGATAGGTACTTGTTGCCCCCATTTCCTCCAGGTGATTGTGCAGGGCAAGTTGGGGCAGGAGAGTGCAGACCTGGACGAATTATTCCAGAATTACTTGACGGTGAAGGGCTGGAATCCGGGAGGTGGTATGATCCTCCACCACTTGCTGCACTAGCACTACCACCACCTGAACCACCCCCCACACTTCCTGAACTACCTGCTCCAGATCCCGTGGTATTGCTTGTTGTACCGGTACCACCTCCAGACACCATTAGTGCAGGTGAATGTCCTGTACCGCCATAGCCCATTGAGGGACTCCCTGCCCCTCCGAGAGATGGTGGCAAAGAACCATATCCTGAATCAGAACCATAAACCACCTCAGCTGAAAATGAACGCCCCGTAGCTCCAAGATTTCCATAAGCTTTTCCTGACCCCCCATGGCTGGAACCAAGATCCTGAGCCTGTGGAGAACTGAATCCTCCATATGGCTGGGGCAAGTGAGAGGTGGGTGGCTGGCTTGGTGAATATGACTGCTGCTGTGGTGGGGTCTGACCAGGAAGGCCAGCAGTTGGCTTGACAGGTGCAACTGGAGAGCCATATGTAGACAGGCAAGGTTTGGGTGGCTGCTGCTGTGTAGCAGAGGATGACACTGTTGGTGGTGGAGGTGGCGGGGGTGGTGGTGCTGACTGGGGTGGTGGTTGCTGCCTTGAGGGTGCAGAGGAGGTACTGGATGAAACATTAGGATTAGAGGCAGAGGAGGAAGAAGAGGAGGTGGAAGAAGCTGAAGGAGGAGTGTGAGGGGTTCGAGATGAGGAAGAGCCAGAGGAAGAATAGCCACTACTTGAACTGGAACTCTTTCCTGTTTTCCCAATACCACCACCCGAGCCAGCTGAGGAGGAGGTGTACGGGGGCTGGATAATAGGACGATATACCTGCTCTGATCGGGGAGAGGGTTTGGGGTCAGATGATGGGCTCTGTTCACCCAGTGGGCTACAGTTTATGGAGGAACCATGCCGATGATGGGATATCTGCTGGTATCCTGATGCACCACAACTAAGATAGTGTTGTAGGGGATGAGGTGTGGAAGAGGATAGTTGAGACGGTCCAGGAGAAGGTCTCTGGTAGTGCTTGATCACACTGTCTTGCCTAGGGATGGCTCTTTCCTGGGACTGTGGCAGTTGAGGGGGTGCAGAAGAAAAAACAGAGGAATTGTAGAGTTGAGAGGACTGATCCTGCAGTTGTGAGGACAGCAGGTTAAACTGAGGCGGTAAATGGCGTGTTGAGGAGGATGCAGGTGCTTGTGGTGGAGGAGCACTAGTGGGCTCTTGTGGCCCTCTATATGAAGCAGTCCCACTCTGTGAAGACAGAAGACGGTCAAAGCCAAGACTTGACTGGGAGGGTGTTTTAATGTGTAGCAAAGGATCATGTGGTGACAGGAGACCGTTGGAAGTAGGACTGAAGGTAGGCGTGTCCTGCAGAGATAATGATGGGGTCACTCCAGGGAAGGAGCGCCCTGAGAAGGATGCAGGGTGCTGATATGCCGACAGAGCAGAGGAAGAGGGAAATGAGCCAGAGCCAGGTAGTGCACCAGAAATGAATAGCTCTGCAGGGGCTGGAGTGTGCATTGCTACAGCAAAAGAGAGAGAAAGCAAAGGAAAAAGAAAATGATTCAGCAGTTAGTAAGGTGATTCTATATATTTCTTTCATGATATATTTCTGTGTTTATAATTAGATAATTTTCTATTCAATAACTCACAACACTAACCAGTTTGCCAAGAGGGGGTGCGAAATTGGGAGAGAAGGGAAGAGGCAGAGGGGGGTGGCTGAGCACCTCGGGATTCCAAAGCAGAGATCAAGTTCATAACTGAAGCATCTGGTCCTGAGGGACTGGCATGATGTAGTCCAGTATCAAACAAGCCTGAGAGCCCTGTGAAATATGATTATTAAAATAAAGTCTAACAGTGCAGTGTTAAATCAAAGCAATTGCTGAAGAAATATGTTTTTATCCGCTATCACCATTATACTCAAACAAGCTGGGCAAAACAACAGAGGTTTCCCAGGAATTAACTACTTAATTTTGTCGACCGTACCCAAGCTCCTTCCTGTGCCCCATGCTCCGCCTTGTCCAGAGGTGCCTGGATGATGATTTGTTGCATATCCTTGCAGGGGGTGTGGTGTGGCATAAGCTTGACGGTGGAGGAGTTCTGAGTCTGGATGGGAGGATCTGGAGCTCCCATAAACCAAACTGAAAAACAGAGGATTCAAAAAGGAGGTAAATGACAGAGAGAATGTTAGAGAAACAAACACAGAGTAATTGTTTACATTCTCATGCATAATGTAAAATTTGGGCATCTGACACAACCTCACCGTCCTAATTGGCCAGCGCATAATACATACTAGGGATGTAACGATTACCGGTTTGACCATAAATCGTGATAAAATACCCCACGGTTAGTAATACCGTTTCATATTTTAATTATCACTATAACCGTATTTGATTACCGCGATTTGAACAACTGAGGATAAATAAATACTGTCCAGCACAGGGCTCCAGAGTGCAACCAAATGGGCGCATTTTGCGAGCATTTTTTCTGCCCGTGTGACTAAATTTTGTGTGCGGTCGCACTGGTGCTACCATCGCATTGTTCAACTCATAAGCGCTGCCATTTCTGTTGCATATGAGAAACATCAAACGGCAAACGAAACTGAAAGCGTAACGAAACCGCGCGACTCATTTGAACTGCGCAGCGCTTATAGAGTGTACAGCATGGTTTATACTCACCGCGTCAGCACGAGTGCGAAGCTGTGTGCACCAAAAATGACGCGAATATTGAGGAAACGATGGATGGGTTTCATGTTAAAGTAAAGTAAAGGACCGCTTCTTAAACCAGAGGTTAACATGTTGGTATTCTTGTGGGGGAAAAAACATGCTAGCACTGTCACCGACAGCCAGTTTAGTTTTACTTTTCTTTTTGTTTTCATTTTGAAAAGTTTGTTATCTTTGCTGTTTACCTCATGTTATTCTATGTAAGCTCTCTTTTTATTTATTTGATTACTCAGTGTTTGCTAAACGTTCTGTAATTTATTAGTCAGTATATAATACAGCATGTGGTGTATGCCATGCCTCGTCTTATTCGTTTTTGTTAATAAACGTTTTGTAAGCTAGTTTGACATTGTATCTTACGGTTTTATTGTTGTTATGCTTTTTAATTAAGAATAACAATGAATCCATCTTTTGTTTTAGTCTTAAAAAGTGAAATATGTATAGATGTATGTAAGCAAATCAGACAATTATCTTTTCCTGTAAAACGTGACACCAAGATCTCGAATTCGAAAGTGAAGCACCCGAAGCCCGGTTATAACATAAATAGGAACTCCCGTTCACAAAATTTAAATCACAAATAATACTGATGAAAAAGAAGGGGTTGAATGTTAACCACTTACGTTTTCATATAATTATAAACTATGATAAAAGTTCATCAGCATGCATTGTTTAATCCCTAAAAATTAAAAAGTACTGCGACCAAATCATGTGCTGGCGTGACCAACTGAGAAAGTTGAAAAACGGACCGAATTTGCATGCCCTGCTGTAAATTGACCAGCTGATGAAAAACAAGCTTATGTGGATTCTTCACATTTAAACAATAAGGTATATATCTAGTATTATTTATGGAGCAGATAAAATACATAATTTATTAATCAATTATCATTTTGACTTGACCCTTTTCTTTATTTAAAAGCTGAAATGTGAGGTTTACCATTTATGAAACTTTTTCAAAGCTTTATTTGAACATTTACATTAGATATTTGAACATGCTATTAGATAAACTTGTCAGTCATGTTGTCATTTAAAATCCGAACATCATTGGTAATGTTATTGTTTTAGTTATGCAAACAAAAACTCATTTTATTTGTTGATTTTAAATGTAAAACTTGGTGAAATAATTTGTCTCAGTACTTTTTGAACATTTCCAGCACATTTTAACAATACCGTGATAATACTGATAACAGTGATCATTTTGGTCACTATAATCGTGATAAGAAATGTTCATACCGTTACATCCCTAATACATATATGAGGGAAGTAAATGTTTACGAAGTAAATGGTCAAATACTGCTTAAACATTAAAATATTATAACACTCATATGGTCAGAATTTTGAATAAGGCAATCGAATTGAATAAAATCTATTTGTGCTGGGAATGAATTTTGATTATACCATTGATTTGGTTCACTGATTGTTGCTCATTTAATAGGTGTTTTGTCATGTATATTTGATCAATTTAAAAATAAAGGGTGCAAGTATTAAATTCCACTAATGATCCAATTAAATAATCACTAATTATTTAATTTTATAATCAGACAAATTATTGTACAATCCAATTATACCTTAACCACTTGTTTTCTTCATTTAAAAGTAATTTTGGAGGACTAAATCAAACAATAACTCACTGTATTGTATCATTGGGATGGATTTCATTGTTCCCCCTTCTGTTCAGACAGTGAAAAAGTCTATTGGGCTCTATACTCATACTAAATCCCTGTATAGAGTATCAGTTGAACCAGCTTGGCATTATCCCTCGCACCATAGCCACACACAAAGATTAGCTCTTTAATCAGCCTACTCACTTCCACATCCTCCTTCCAAAAAGCCAGTAGGATCTGATTTTGACACACGATCTACAACAATCACACCAACAAATATATTATCAGCATTCCCAATATTGCCTCCTCTATCTATAAATTAGGCAAATATGCTGACTCATTGATATGCAACGTATGAATGATAAAACAAGACCACATTATAATTCTTTTTTTTTTGTACCTTGTCTCACATTTACCACCGCTACACTTCAAGATGTGCAATGATACCGAGTGTAGTTCAGCATTCTGATTGGCCACTCTGCCTGTTGCCAGCCAATCGACTGCCTTTTGCAGTCTTTGCAGACTGTCTCTGTTGTTCGCTTTCATAGAGAGTGGCCAGTTCAGTTGACAATGGCGGTTAGGATGTTGCTGAGGTAAGACACAGAGCGCTCATTGATAAAAGCTCTGAATTGCCTTGGTAACACCCTCCCCTCCATCCTCAACAGGCTCTTAGTGCGAGTACAGCTCAGTTAGTCTAGATCCCTCTCACTCTGAGACCAGAGTGGGAAGCCACAGACACCACATACTGAGTGAGCGCGTGCTGAGGGGGTGGGTGTCATTCAACAGAAGCGGTGGAGTGGACCAGAAAATCTATTTTAAAACCTATTAAAAGAAAGACCTTATTCAAACCTACATCTTCGAGTGTAGTATTCGAAGAATTAAATAAATAAATCTTTACAATCTATATGCACAGCCTCTCATTACATACTTCCCAATTCAGAACCGACAGGATGCAAGACTAGATTTATATTGTCATTCTCCATTAAATAGACTCCCGGGCTCAATATAGTCACCGGAATATGTGTCTCTCAAAAGACCCTAATAAATGTGACAAAGACAACTGATGTCCATCCTGAGGGGGTTCCATCTGGGAGCATGTCCATCTCTTTTAAAAACACCCTCATCTTGGAGGCACAAGACTCGCGTAATTAACTGGATAAAGGCTCTAATGAACTGGGTTAAACATTTAAATGCATGAGTGAGAGCGCACATCCCGGCTGCCAACTGCTTCACTGATTGTACCTCTGGCATAATACATAATATACAGTCCCATGTCAAAACTACCCTCATGATGTTTTGATACATTGCTGCATCTGTTTGATACCGATTCTTTTGCGGGATCGTTTCAGGTTAGGCAGAACAAGGCAAGCAATTTAGATAAGCGGAGTCACTGCTTTAAATACTGTTAGAGTCATAGTAGTAGGCTACCATGCAAAAGTGACACATAGCATTAACAAAAAGGACCATCAATCAACCAGCAACTGAATGTCTTATCATCATAAATAAGTAATGTATCATAGCATCAGTACTCTCTCTTCAAACGTGAGATCCATGTACAACAAATAATTATTCTGTGCAACCAAAGGAAGCAGTTTCACTTCTAGGTAATGTGAGGTTTGATAAGAATTAGACCGTAATTGGCTCTTAATCCCAAAGAGGCAGCGCAGAGATGATCAGGGAATAGATGATGAACTTCACAAGAATAAGGTAAAATGAAGGATATTGTACAAACAGTGGGGTTCAAAAGTATGAGACAACTTCGTGAGTCTATTTTGATTTTAATTAAATATTATTTTTTTATTACAAATTATATCATCAGCATAACAAGTCAGAAGTGAAATGCAGAATGTCATAATTGCTTATTATATTTCTATGGAATACTGCAGCGTTTATTATCCATGCACATATTTAAATTAATATGCACTCATCATTTTTAATCATAAACATGAACTTTTCCTTCCCCTCCCCCTCACAACAGGATCTCTTCTCTGATCACGTGTGCACCGGCGTGAGGGCTGGACAATAATTCCTCCCTCCAGCAACCCGTCACTCATATGAGATCGCAGCAGTTAGCAAAACAACGATCAATCCAATCCAATCAATTACCAATGGACAAAAACAAGTCCCATCCAACATTTTTTCTCATTCATTTGATAAGCCATTTTACATGGATATGAATGTCACAATAGGGAAGAGAAGATGGTTTCTGTTTCATGCTGAATTTAACAACAGCAGGACTAAGCAAAATCTTTGCTTATTGATTTTTGCTTTTTGACCTACAAATACTTTTTCTTTGTTTTAATATTAGATTGATATTACAATAAAAAGAGGGACTCAATTCAATTTAATATATTAAAAAGCATGTATACATGTACCATTTTATTTTTTTATACATTTCGATCACACTACAACTATTTTACATCCAGTAATTTCTTCCTCTCCTTTCTCACTTTTTTTCCATCATGCAGTCTTACACCTTCAGTCAATCAATTCATCCTGTTAAACCTCTCACCTCCTGCCACTGTGCATGTTCTTGAGCTGATTAAGCATAATTGGACAATGGAGGGAAAAAGAATAATAGGGAAAAGGTGAAACTTGAAAAATAAACAAACAGTGGAAGGAAACCGGAGAAACAAAGGGAAGGGTTGAATTAGAAAGCTTGATTGAATTCACTGTACAAGACTGCTCCTAATAACACAGGCAGTAATTCAACACAGTCCCCCCGCCAACAGGTGCAAAATGTTTACAGCCTGATGGGGAACTCAGTCACGGCCATTAATCTCCATTAGAACCGTGCAGAGGTGTGTGCTGGATGTAATGCTGCCCTAAGAAGGACAGAGGGCCTGGTTGAACCTTGCCATCATGGAGTATGCCTTTGTCGCCTTCATAACCAAGATTCAGTGCGCAGAAGTCTTGCTAAGCAACAGTGCTATCATTTTATACGTTTATTCTCGTTTAATATTAACACATGCAACATTTCTTAATATAAGATCTAATATTGCCAAATGTGGTGTCCTACACAGACCCTAGTGTCATTTTGTTTTATGCTAATTTTCCACTTCTCAGTGTTTCATCATTGCATAATGGCTATGCTTCCAATGACCCAAAGCAGCCGTCTCACTATCTAATATTCATTCAAAAGCAGAAGCAATTTTCGGAAAACTACAAGAGAGAAGATTCAATACAAAAGCATTTCATTTTATTCGGCGGATGCTTTTCAGCCTCTGCAGCAGCAGCACTGAAGCTTGTCCATCATCATAAGCCTGAACTCCTCATTAAGATTCCGGATTCTATCAATCTGCCTATGAGTCTACAGAGATGCTCTTGAGTCAGAAACACAATATTAAAGATTCCCACAGAATATAGAACAATTCCTCTTCAGACTTGCTAAGAGTCAGCCAGAGATACTGGGATGCAGTCTCGCAGAGTATCGGGGGAATGTTACGTGTTAGAAAAACTCTGACCACACACAGCATTTGTGATCCTTTTTTAGGAGTGTGACTGGAATTCCTCATAGATACACATAGGGGTTTCCACACATCTAGGGATGATTGCTCGAAAGAATAGCCCTATTGTTGTCCTGTCATGCAAGAAAAAAGGAGCCACTCCAAATGTGTTGCAATGCACAAATGATACGACTTCTTGACACATTATGACACAAATAGGCACCAAAACTTATTTGCATCCCTGCAAATAAAAAAAAAGATTAAATACAACCTACAAAGGAATTTTTTTTTTTTTATAGAAAGAATCCTGCAAAGACAACGAATAGTAGCATAGATTCCAGCGTATCGCATAATACACCTAAATGAACATAAATAATTACAATTTCTTAACATTTCACTTCCCGTGCCCATATAACAACAGGGTAAAAGTATGCTGTAGGTGTGCACCCAAGTGTACGACTGACTCCATACATGCAACGCGAGACACTAACCACCAAGAATGATTGCACGCGTGCTCTGTGAAGATTGATCTGGTTGTCACGGCGACTGATAAGGTACATAGAGGCGCGCCTTTGAACTGTAAGTAGGCCGCGAAAATAATGAACCACGTACCTAACGTAGAGCACGACGCCGTAACAGTCCTGTTTTCAGGTAGCAACAGAATATTTCTTCGCTATTTAAATATTGCAATGCAACACTTCCTAAAAGTAGCAACCCTTTTGAGCAAGCCTAGTTTTTCCCGCAGAGATTTAATGGCTAGTCAATGTAAAACTAAGCTTTGCCAGGTCATTTTATTAGTTCTTTCAAATGTCTGTGGATATTTAGAAGAAGAAAAAAACATTATGCATCAAGTATTTATTGATCGTCTTTTCTGCTGGTGGGTTGCTAATAAGTTTGCAGTGCGTCTTACGTTTATGTTTACAGTGTGCACGTCTCGGTCACGCTGTAATTTCACTGAGGAACACCACACATTATTTGGTACGTTGCCAAGAGCCTAGAAAAACGACAGTATCCTCAACAACAGATATGGTATTTCTCCGTTAGATGATAACGATAGGCTGTGCAAAGTTTGGGTTGTTTTTTTTAATACTATGATGAATTAGTAGCAGAGGTTGTTCTTACAGCGTTTAATATACGTGCTGTGACATGTGTAAACGAATAATACATGTTGACTGTAAGGAACTTCACCTCTGCATTTAGTCATTTAACGAGGGTAATCGAACCTCTTTTTTTCTGATTTAACAAAATGTGCCTTTCCAAAATAAACCGTAGTCGACAAACAAATAAGCGTTAGCTATAGAGACAAGCGGCATACAGTAGCTAGCGACCATTTCATCCCCAAAAATATATATGCGATTGCTTCTAATTGGTTGCCTCCAAAATAACGCTTTGTCAACGTGCGTTCTGTGCCACGCATTACGCACTAACTTGCGCCGAATTAGCGTGTATTCAAGTACGGCATGCAATGTCCGATTCGGTGCGCCTCCAAGGAAGAAGGTTTGATTTTTCATTTTTGATAATACGCTAGCAAGCTAGCCATGGATAAATATACGCGGGACGGCAGGCTACCTCCTCGTCAGAAACAAAGTGTCTTGTTAGGTTAATTAAAATCCGCAAAGTTTCTAAGAATTATGCAAGGGACCAGTGTCATGCTTCAACAACTCTTATAAATGTTACCAACCCACGGGATTCAAATCGCTATTTTCAGGTATTTAGCCAAGAAGGCGCCATTTTTAAGAGAGTGGACTAACAGGCTCACACACATAAACATATCCACACACGCCCCCCTCTGCCGACTCGCTTGTCACACTCTCACACATACGCAGTCTGTCTGGAAGTCTCGTGCGTACTGCCGCCTTGTTACAGCACAGAGGCACTACTGAGTATGGGACGCTCTCTCTAGTATGGTCTGTGCACAGTGGTGCACACCGAGACTGTAAAAGATGAGTGACAACAGCGACTAAATACTGAAATCGATTTAAGCGTCACGCAGTCTTAGTAGCAATCAAATTCAAGTTTGGCTACATTTGATTTATTTTATTAATAACGAAAATTAAATTCCATTTGATAAAACTCTTTAAAAAAAAAAATGAACAAATCTGATTCATTAAAATATTGACAGCATTCACACCGAAACTGTGTTCCATGATGATAGTAGCAAAATAATTCTAAAGAATAAAATAGGGTTAACTGCTGAACATGTGGCATAAGTATAATAAATTATCTACTGACTGAAGCTGCACTTTTTCACCAGTAAAACCCTGTATCACCCCTCTCCCCTCCCCCATTTAAAAACAACAACAACAACAACAACAACATCATGTCTTTGTCATTCCTCTTCTTGAGTTTGTGGTGGCTCGGGTGGACTTCCCCTGTAAAGAGCAAAGATGCATATTTTAAAACACATTTTGAACATGCAGCCAAAATAATTTTATAGCAGGCACTACATCGCCTTTGTTTACGATGTACAAACAAGCCGTTCAGTGCTCTTACCCAGAGTACGGCGGTGGAGGTGCATCATGCTGGCCGCTGTGGGTCAGAGCCTCATTGTATGAGGGGAGACCTGGAGCCCTGTTAGCCAAGGGCACAGACTCTGGTATTGGCTGCCCATCCACACCCATACGCACAGGAACACTGAAGATGCAGAAAAAATGAGTGGAATATTGCTGCATAAAGGGCATATATATATATATATATATATATATATAGCTGTGGTAATGATGGCATGCACTTACCTGGCCCCTCTTGAATTTTTGCCTCTGTTCTTGTAGCAATAAATGCCCAACACAGTGGCTATAATCGCTGTTATTACAATAGCCACAACACCAGCTACCAAACCAGACACATCAACTGGGGGTGAAGACTCTGTAGGAAACAATCAGGTCATCATTCTCAACAAATACACATTTTAATTGTTTATTTAGTGAACCCAGTTTTTCCTTTTTGGATAAAATATTGAAAACACTGTTACATCCCAGGTCTAGGGTCTGAGAATAACATAAATACCTAAGAATATTTGTAGTTTGCATTTGCTTATGCTATGATGACAGCTAGCTAGACATCAATCTTAAAAATAAAGGTTCCAAAAGCAATGTCATAGAACCACAATTTTTAGAGTGAAGGCTGCTTGCTTCAGTGCAATAAGACTAAGAATGAGACTTTAAAGTTGTCATTTTTATTTTAAAATGTATTCAAAATGTTCAATGTCCATATCTTTAACTATATCTATAAAATGGAAAATACATTAACCCTTTAAGCCCTGATGGCATTTTTGCCTCACTGAAGTTGATGTTTTTTTCTGAGTGACATACACAAAAATAATGACTCATAACTCGAACACTGTAGCAAGGAGAGTCAAAAGGTTGGTATCGTTTGGTAGAAAACTTTCTGTACTTTCAGTGGACAAATTATTTCATTTGGACATTCTCCTGCTGAGAAATAGCTGATAAAAATGTAAGACAAATTTGAGGGCTTAAGAGAAATGTATCATGTCTTATTTGACATTAATCTCAGGACAGAAATAAGGTAGGAGGAAAATTATTTTTTGATGATGTTCCCCAGCATGTTAGCTGTATCGGTTTCAAATTGTGGTGATAGCACAAAGTATCCGAAAGTTACAGTATTTTGTAACAAAATAGGCCTTTTTGTTTATTTCTTGTCTCCCTGAAGGCATTTTAAAAACTGTTGTTTTCTGAGTCCCATACACTGAAATGACAACTCATAACGCCAAGACCGTAGCAAGGAGTGTCGAAAGGTAGGTATAGTCTGATAGAAATGTCTCTATATTTTTTTGGGGGGGGGGGATCTTTGCATTTGAATATTCTCATGTTGAGAAATAGGTGATAAAATGTAAGAAAAATTAGTGTGGTCAAGGGAAATTTTTCATATTCTTATTTTACATTCAATATCTCATGAAAGAAATAAGGTAGGATAATTTTTTTTGCTGATGTTCTCCAACATACAGTGGGGGAAAAAAGTATTTAGTCAGCCACCAATTGTGCAAGTTCTCCCACTTAAAAAGATGAGAGAGGCCAATGGCACAAAAACATTTCTTGTCATTTATCAGAAAATAACTCGGCACTACTTTGGAGATCAAAGTGGCTACATGCATTGTAAAGCTCAGACTCTAAGCTTTCAAATGATATCCATTTGTTGTTGATCAAGGCAGTGGATTGAAAAATATGATTATTAGTAATATTTTCGGGGGGGGGGGGGGG